TACAGATGGGACGGACAACTGCCACGCTCATGCAACCTGTACTAACACAGACGGTAGTTTCACATGTGGCTGTGACACCGGTTACTCCGGGGACGGAGTCACCTGTACTGGTAAGAACAAAAGATTGTCTCTAAAGCATCACATCGCCAATACATGCGTTGCTTACATAGAATCAAATTTTACAAGTGTCTTGAAGGTATTTATCATTATACATGTATTTCAAAACATCGTGCCAAAAGTTCAAGTATGTGTAGTACTACAAATACGATAAAGTGATACCCATCAAATACATTGGTCTGATATATACGTTCGCGAATGTCTGCCCCGTTTTCTTAATTTATGTTTCGATTCTTGACGTAGTACCAGTGCTTTACATTTCAGGGCATCATGTGGGACAGTTATCTGTGTACCTTTCTTGTACCGATAACGTCGATTATTAAACAAGAAAGATATTTCCCCTTCCCCTTGATGAGTTTTGTGGCGCTGTGAGGTATACCTATCTCACTACATCATGGGCTGTAACTGGGAAAACAGTAACACGCATGCGCAGATAATGCAATTGCGGTTTGTCTCAACAGATATCGACGAATGCACAACGAGTACAGACAAATATTGATAGCGTAAAATTACGTTTGCTTTGTAGATATGGACGAATGTGACATGTACATTGCCAGAAAACAAGAATATTTCCTCTTGTCTAGATTCAACAAGCTTTTACCATTGTGAGGTAGAACTGTTACTTTCCAGTAATGACCAACTTGGACTGTGAGTGTAAGACAAATATTACTATATATTATACGTAATTTGTCACTGCAGATATCGACGAATGTACAACTGACACGGACAACTGCGACGATGATGCAACCTGTAGTAACACAGACGGCAGTTTTACCTGTACCTGTAACAACGGTTACACCGGAGATGGAGTCAACTGTAATGGTGAGAACAAAAACAATTCTGTTGTATATTTCTGGAACATTTTAGTATATTACTGGGGAACATTAATTCAAGCGTTGCAGTCTTAGTCAGCATTGCTTTATAGATTCATGATTCTGTGTCAAAATATCCTAAAATATTAACACTGTATACCCAGTTTAATGTCCTTACCGCAATAAATAGGTATTATTGGTCAGAAGAGATTCATTCCTTAGAGATATACCGCCCCTTCTCCAGTGATGACTAATGTGAGCAGTAAACAACAAGACAAAGATTATCTTCCGTGTTGGTAGTCATTATGCAGCAAGTTTGAACTACAATTTTCAACACAAGAAATTGAACCTACCCATGGCATATATTTTAGTCTTTGTCAAGGAATGAGCAATCCACCGCTTCACGCAGATAACACACGTGACACTACTAGCAGTTGTGTTGGAAATTGCAGTTCAAACTTGCTTCATAAAGACAAAGATTACTAGCTATAGTATGTCGTTGCGGTTTGTTTTTACAGATATCAACGAATGTACAGATGGCACCCACAACTGCGACAATGATGCAACCTGTGCTAACACAATCGGCAGTTTTACCTGTTCCTGTGACGTTGGTTACACCGGGGACGGGGTCAACTGTGACGGTGAGAACAG